ATTGATTCAGTGACTGGGATAATCGGGATGGGAGTGTCAGAGACAGTGCGATTGGCACAGGACAGAGCAGAGTTTAGGGCTGTTGTACATAGAGTTGGTATGAGTCGCAAATGACTCGACGGCACATAACAACAACAACAACAACATTATAAATATAAATGTTATAAAAATGCTTGCATTTATTCCCTTATTTATAATTGCTTTTTTCTCACTATTAGAAATGGCCTTGCTGGGTTAAGGGCATACATTTTTGACATGTTAAAAGATAAAGTAAAATTGTTTTCTCATAAAGCCTCTAACAATTCACATATTCCCTAAGAACACAAAACTTAGTAGCAATATAAACTAGGAGTCTTTTTAAGTTTTACTAATCTAACAAATGTTGTTACACTCATTGTCACTTTAAGTTGCATGTCTCTGTTAACCAGAATTGGAGCATTTGTTCATGTGTTTGTCACATGTTTATGGTATTCTATTAACTGTTTAGGTATGCCCTTTGCAAAATTTTTCAAATTTTTTTCTAGTATCCTGATTTATAACATAACTTTGTTATGAAAACAGTGTCATCCCCTCTGTTGCAAATATTTTTTCCAAACAGTTATTAACTTTTCATGTATTTACATAGTCAAATGGGCATTCCTAGGCTTACAAACTTAGTTAACAACTACTGTTAAGGAATTACTGGTTTTTAGAGAAATAGCCTTAGAAGTTGTACTGTGCAATCTTAAATTTACTATCATTAACCTAAGGATTTGGAGCTCTGGTAGAGTACTCTGTAGGGAGTGATACTGCTAACCCGAAGGCATTTCGAATCCACCTTCGTGGATGAAAGAGAACACTAAGAAGTATCAAAACAGCATGTATTGTGATTACCACAGCAGCAGGAAGAGGAATGGAAATTTACATTAACTATGAACATCTACCACATATCAAGCACTACCGTAGGATTTTAAAAACAATTTTTTTTCTGTCTACATAATAATCAAGAAATGGGAATTCAGGTACTTTTCTCTCCCCTAAATTCTACTGCAGATCTATGGAATAAAAATTTAAATTAGAACAAGAACTATACATAAGTGTTTCCTATAGTATTATTACACTTACCCTGGACAACACTGCATTTAAAAATTTTGTTTTACAGATGCTTCAAGAAGCTAGGGTTACAGATGTTCAGTAAGGTGCTAAGGACATATACTTAAAGTAACAGCGATTCTAGAAGGCTAAATATCATAAATATACTTTCTGAAAGCATAAAAATAAAGATGGGCAAAACAGCATGGTATGCACAACTTCCCAACCCCACACATCCAAAAAAAAAAAAGGGTGGGGGGCAAGTGAATTAAAAATCAGGAATATATAGTATTAATGAATTTTCAGGTTAATCCAAAGACAGTTCACAGAATAGGAAAATAAGTCCTTTTCTATGGAACTCCAGGTTTTTATTAAAAAAGGTCAAATATTAGTAACTCAAACACTGAAGTAATTATAAAATGTACTGCTTTTATCCTTCTTCCCAATCTTCACAACCAATAATAAGTTATCATTTACTTCTTTAACAAATCTTTCAACTTCATCTTAAAATCTTCAATTCTAAATGCCATTAACTAAAATATATATGCAATCTACTCATCTGAAAGGTGAATTACTTAATAAGTAACTTAAATGGATTTCTATGAGTTTACCCTAAATATTCTACCACTGCTCTACCACAAAGTTTCCTTAACGTCCTCTCAAGAGGTTGAAAAGTGGTTCAAGAACATCTAAAATCTAAAGCATTATGTTAAGAATGTTGCAAGATTACTTAATAAGTAACTTAAATGGATTTTTATGAGTTTACCCTAAATATTCTACCACTGCTCTACCACAAAGTTTCCTTAACGTCCTCTCAAGAGGTTGAAAAGTGGTTCAAGAAGATCTAAAATCTAAAGCAGTATGTTAAGAATGTTGCAAGAGTCCTCTATTAACAATATCAAGTTTAAAATTTTGTGTCTTTATAATGAGGTAGCTACCTGTAATCAGAATCCCCTTGAACCTGCCTCAGGTTCAACAGTACACTAGAAAAAGTCACGCTGTTGTTAGATGTTGTTGAGTCTAGGACAATTTATAGTGACTCAAATAACAACAGATGTGAATCCTGTCCTGCCCTGTGCCAACTTCACAACCTCTGACATACTCAAGCCCATTGCTGTAGTCATTATGTCAATCCATCTCATTTAAGGTCTTTCTTTTTGCCAGCCCTCCACTTTTCTAACAAAATACATGAGATGAAGTGTCACCATGCTAGCCTCTAAGTAGCACTCCAGTTGCACTTTCTCCAAGGCAATCTATTCTTTGGCAGTCCATGAGATAGATATTCAGTACTTTTCTCTAATACCAGAACTCAAAGGCATCGATCGATTCTACGTCTGTCATCCATATTCATTAGCACGTGACTGAAAAGACTATGGCCTGAATCCGGTGACAGACATAAAATCGATGCCTTTTGAGTCCAGGTGACTCTGTGTATCTTCTCCATCTCCTTGGATCATTCAAGATTTTGCCCACAGCATCTCTGAGTATCTTTTCTCGGGGCCCGAATTTGTTTTTCAGTTCACTCAGCTTGAGAAATGCTGAGCAAGATCTTCCCTTTTTATTATTCAACTCCAGCTCTTTGCAATACCTTGCTTGTCTTCTTTCATTGCCCTTTGACATCTTATGTTCATCTCTTCCCTTTGGTTTGACTTCTTGATGCTCTTGTGCAATTATCAGTCTCTTCTGACATCCAGTTTGGTCTTTTCTTTCTCCTGTCTCTGTGACAATCTTTCACTCTTCACGGATGATATCCTATAATTCATCTGGTCTTTGATCATTAGTGTTCAATACCTCAATCTTATTCTTGAGATGATTTTTTTAAATTCAGGTAGCATAAACTCAAGGCCATATTTTGGTTCATTTTACTTCTTCAGTTTGAACTTGCATCTGAATAACTGATTGTTTCACAGTCAGCAATTGGCCTGATTTTGACAGCTGATACTGGGCAGTCTTTCCAATGAGTCTTTCCACATATGCAGTCAATCTGATTCTTATGCAGTCCCATCAAGTGAGGTCCACAGTACTATATAGCTGCACTCATGGTGTGATTTATTACAATAAGAGAAAACAAGTGAAATCAAGAAAACCAGCTGCTTTCCTGTGGATTCAGACTCAAGAAAACTCTATGTGAGTCATCAGAGTACAACTATACTCCATAACATTCACCAAATCTTTGATACCACCCAAAAACGGAAATCAGCCAAGGGAAAAAAAGAACAAATCAAATCAAGACTGGAGGAAACCACTGCAACCTTCCAGGAATTCTTCCAGTAGAATTACAAAGGATAAACTTAATTCAAACAGCACAAAACTGTGACAACACATATGAAATTGCAGCAATATGGAAGCTTATCCATGACTCAATGCAAAACTTTTATTGTGGGTTGGTCCTTTAAGCAGCTATTTCTTAACATTTATCAAAATTTCCAACTCCATTGAGTCAGCATACTCTGTGTCATGTTACCAGTTTAAACGGCCCAAGAAGACAATTATAAATGGTAATAGTAGGAATCCTTTGCAAATCCAAGCTCTCAAATGCCAGTCAACCTTGCAAATATGCCTTACTAACATCTTGGATGGACTAGGTTAACATATATCTTCATTTAGCTACAATCCGACCACTTTTCTTCTCCACCTAAGTTTTACTTCTGTGACTATATACTCCAGCTAAATTTATCTCTCCCAGGATCATCTTCTCTTTCATAACACATTACTATATTTTACAACTCTGTTTATCTTCCCTTTCTTTGAAGTCCTATTTAAACTTAGGTTGTATTATTTCAGGTTTACTTATTCTATACCTCAAGCTCCTCATATCATATTTAAATAACATCTACACACAACAAAAATGGAGATCCGTCAATTCCAAAATTCCTGCTCCAAAAGAAGTTCTTCATGGTTGATCAACACTCAGGAGAACGAGATGGAGGTGGAGCTGCCTGTGTCTGCAAACACCAGAAGCAGCTCTCCATTCCTAGCGAGTAGCAAGCAGCATCGCACTCCTGTGTGAGGACCTGGAGCAGGCATCACACACATTCCCTTGTTCTGGAATAGTCTTCCACTCCATGGGCTTCAGTTCATCCTTATCTGGATTTTCTTTTTTTTTCCTTAAACTTTTTAGTAATTTAATGTGTGTATGCAGAAAGTATAGAGAGAGATCAGCTGGGTGGACAGAAGGTGATGCTACCAAGCCAAAGGTGGGTGACTTTTAATCCGCAGCCCTCAGGCCTGTCTTTCATTGTTTTTGTTCAGACATTCCTCTAGGTCGTATAACCCTGGTGTACAAGTTGTCGTACAATAGTAACTTATAGTTGCTGTTAGGATGAACACTGTGACACTGATATGTGTCAAATGCGTTAATGGTTGGTTACCCAATGCGAAAAGAGTGGGGTGGAGTTCCTCGATTAAAACAAGCTTGGAAGGAGAAGTGGCATCCACTTCCATAACAGCTTGCCTCCGGAAACCCTATGAACCTGGGGAAATGATGAGAGACACCCAAACGTCTAGGACTCCCTTCACAGGGTCGCTATGAGTCGCCTGTGACTCGACGGCACTTAACAACACAACACACACACACACACACACACACACACACACACACACACACACACACTTTAATGGCCTAGTCTGTAGTGGGTTCACTGTTAACCCAAACATGGTGACTCTTCAGTAGTTCAAATTCACTAGCAGCTCCTGGGGGGGAGAAGAAAGGCAATCTCCTGAGCGACTTACAGCCTCAGAGAATGTGCTGAAGGGGCAGCTACCTGTGAAATGGCTCTGACTCAACAACAAGTGAGTGTGACTATGTATCTACTCTCTTTGAACCTACTATAATGCCTATGAAGTCTTCAACACTGCAGGCCTTTAAAAATTAAAGACTGACCAAATTAAAAAAATCTAGTGTCTCCTTTATATAGAATTATAATTATTAAAGAATGTTAAGACCACATTATTAAAACCCTAATCAAATAAATCCAAGTTTACAATAAACTGATGACTGAGTGTATAAAAATGTACTTCACAGATATACATTTATTGTGGGAATATGCTCTAATGAGGGGGCAGGGATAGAAAAACTGTAGAACTCCATTATATTTCTTTGCAAGAACATGTTTTAATTTCCAGCTGTGAGCCTATTTAGAATTCAGAATATTACTTAATATTTTTCAAGTATAGTTCTATATATAAGTAAACTCTGAAAAGACGATTTAGAAATAATTCCTACCAATGTTTGGATATCAGGATCTTTTAAAATACCTAACATTTATTCAGCAATATATCAAGTATAGATAGTCCAGATTTTCAGCGACTAGGATATTTAACATGCTACTGCTTATTGGGCATTTTTTTTTTTTAATATAAATAAAATTTTTATTTTATACTGGTTTACTTACCAAGTTCATATACATTGTGACATGTTATTGTTTTAAATAACAGAACTTAAATATTTAATATATCCCATAGGAAATTAGCTATATTAATTTAAATGCACACCCATGTTTATCATGGCTTTGTTCACAATACCAAGGAGTTGGAAACAATCTAAGTGCCCATCAACAAAAAAACGGATAGAGAAGCTGTGGTATACTCACACAATGGAATACTACGGTGCATTGAAAAACAAGAAACTCATGCAATATTCTTCAAAATGGGTGACCCTAGAGGACATTACGCTGAGTGAAATATCTCAGTCACAAAAGGACAAATACTGCATAGTGCCACTTGTATAACAGGACTGACATCGGAGTTGGAGGTAGACTGAGAAAGATGGGATAAATAATGTATACTGCATTGAAACAGATGAGGGAGAAAACTGTGCAAAAGGGATAAGTGATTAGGCATTATTGTCACGACAGGAGTCCAGAATGAAGGCTACATAGTGGAGTGGACTTGAGGGGAAGGATTGTATAACAATGAAAGAATTTTTCTTTTACTTTTCAAAGAGAAAACCAAATTCGGGGGAGGAAGGGATGGGCAGGGAGAAAAGTGCAACAATGAATAAATGGAAATCCTTAATTATAATAAAAATCCTTAATGTTAATAAAAAAGTTAAAATGATATCCATTTAATATAACTGATTTAAAATACAGAAATGTATGTAACTGACTCAACAAATTACTGTTTGTAATGAAAAATATAGTAAAACAGATATTTTTAACAGACTGCTTTTAAACACAAGAGAGCTCTAGTGGCTCAATCTATATGAAGTTTTGCTAGCTTTGCTAACAAAAAGACAAGGCCTCTCTGCTAGTCTGAATCCACTAGCATCGCTACTGCAAAAATATGAGCTAAACTAGGGGGGAAAAAATAAGAAACAAAAAGATGTCATTTACAACCTCAGAAACCCACTGGAAGTTCAGCTCTGAATTGGTTCCTACTCAACAATATTTAGCTTTTCTTCTTTGACAGTATTCTTTTCTAAAAACCACAAAATAATTTAAGTTATCTTATGTGAACAGTAACTGTATTTCTTCAGGTGAGAATAAGGCAGCTTCTACAAAACAAGTATGAGATATCACCTCACACTAGCAACAACAGCAAATTTCAGCAGGGCAGCAAACAACAAGTGCTGGAGAGGTTGTAGAAGATTTTAACTCTTATTCACTGCTGGCGGGAATGTAAATGGTACAACCACTATGGAAGAATATTTGAAGGTGTTTCCCTCAAAAAAAAAGAAAGAAAATACCTGCTAACCCAACAATTCTACTGGGAATATAACTTAAACCATAGCCACAACTCAAATATGTATGCACACCCATGTTTATTGCTATATTATTCATAACAGCAAAGAAATGGAAGCAACCAAAGTGCCCATCAAAAAACTAATGGACTGAGAACACTATGGTACATTCACACCAATACTATGTAGCACTGATAAAACAACGAACTCATAAACCATTACACAAGATGTTGGGAGCCTTGAAGACATTATATTAAGTAAAATATCTCAGTAACAAAAGGACAAATACTGCATAACACCAATGTTATAAAATAGGATAGATATGGGGGGGTCATTGGGAAAGAATGTGGAAAGAGTGGATAGATAATGAACTGCATTAGAACAAATGAGGGGAAGAACTGTCTGAAAGGAATTTATGATTACACATTTTATGAATGAGAACAATCTGGAACAAGGGGTGCATTGTGAGGTGGGATGGGGGGTGAGGTGTAGCAAAATGTGTAATAGTGAATAAAAAAATTTCCAATAAAATAAAGAGAATAAGGCAGCTTGTTTTCTTTTTGTTCATTTTTCCCCTTATTTTCCAAAATGTACATATACTTTTGAAATACTAGTAAGTTATTAAAACTAATATCACATATGGCAAAGACTCATTACAGAGTTTTCTGTAACAGATTTGACATGTATCATCAATGTACTTTGGTCCCTTGAGATGGACTACTTAATGATTATTATATAGCATAGCCTTTTAAATATTAGCTGTTTCTTCATACTAGTGTAAGGAGTTACTATTTACTATATGGTTCCAACTTTTCATAGGTATTAAGAGAGTGTAGACTAAAGGGAAGAAGCTTTATTTCTCATTATACGTCTAATTCCAGAGAATCTTGAGTAAGATCATTTAGCTTTATAGAACAAATCCATGAAAGAAAGAGATCCAGTATAATCTCTAGGACTGCTATCTTTTAGCTATTGAGATGCTCACAATAAGGCTCAAAATCATTCTGCTTTTAGTAGACTATCATAAATTTTACTATTTGAGTCACTGGTAATTACAAGTTTAAGAGTATCGGTAAACCTAAAACCAACTCTAATTTTCTAGAAAACAAATACCTACTTTAAGGACACACTCTTACCTTTGCAAAAATGTGATCTTTATATTGCTGTTGAGTAACAAACTTTTCACAACATATTATACAAGCAAAGGAATTGATGAAAGATCCATGTAGCGTTATTGTTGGATCACATGGAGAGTGATCAAACCTATTTGAAAAAGATGGATAATATCAGAAAAGCCTACACTCCAGAAGAACTATATTGCTTTGTCAGGCTTCATGCATTCACATGCACACACATACCTCTTCACTATTTTCTACTAAAATACTGTTTTCATATCAAAAAAACATAAAAAAAAGCCCAACCAACAATAAAATCTAGGCGTTCAAGTAACCATTTTAAAAATTATCTCATGCCAAAGGCACTCAGTTTAAATCCACCAGATGCTCTGCTGGAGAAGGAGAGGCAATCTCCTCATGTGCCAATCCAATCCGATTCGATGGTACACAACAAGAGAAAAATCATTATCTCATTTAAGATTTCAGAGGCATATATAAAAATGGCTTTTGATCCTTTTAGAGCTTTAACTTAACCATTTAACCTATTTGTCATTTTAAACTGCCTTGAAAAGCTACACTACAGTATGCTACCCAATTATTTATATACTGTAGCAGCTCCCTCTAGGGGTAACTCACTCAATCACTGTTATCAAATTATAGTACTCTTATCTTGAGACCCTCTTCCATAAATTGCACAGGAGATAACCGATTTTTTTTTCCTTTGGAGCAACCAGTGGATCTGAACAGCCAAAGCTGCTTGGGTTAGCAGCACCAGCTTCCTACAAACTATGTCTTCTCCATACTGACTATGCTCCCTGAGGTAAAGCATATGAAAACACTTCTGATAGTCAATCCTGACTCACCCAAACCTCATGCGTGTTTCAGAAAAGAACAGCACGAGCTATGGTTTTCAATGGTTGACTTTCAGAAGCAAATAACAATTGTCTTTGGGGAAATTCAAACTTCTAACCTCTAAATTAGCAACCTAGCACATTAATTACTTGCACTGCCTAGACAAGTAAGTAGAGTGGGCCATTTAGGAAAGGTAATGATTAGCCCCTAATCTGTCAAATTTTCATCTTTGAACTATTGGAATCACTGGGGTGATTGTGAAGGTAAGAATGTTTGATGTCTTTAATGCTACGTTCTCTTTTTAGCTATTTTCTCTACCTTTACTATTCAAAAACTCAGTAACTGTTTGAAGATAGAATATTTTTTTCTTAATGTTAAACTTGCTTTAAGTGTTTTCCTAATGGCATAGTAGTGTCTGCAGGTTGAAAATCTCCCTTTAAATGTCCTATGGCTCTTGAAATTGGCATTTCCCAGCGTCATTTCTCCAAAACTGACACCTCAAAGTATCAATTGAAGGAGTCTGTTCAAAATTTTAGAAAGACATCAGAAAAATATACGCATTTAATAACTACAGCCACAAAGACAACACTATAATATCACAAGAAAAGTCTAACTTCACTAGGCCTTTTAGAAACCCTAAGAAAGAAAAACTCGATATACCATACACAAAATCCCAAACTCACTGCCGTCAAGTTATTTCCAACAAATGGTGACCCTCCATTGGTTTTCTGAGGCTAGAAATCTTTACAGGAGACTGACCTTTCCCTGAGCAGCTGGTGGATTCAAACCACCAACATTTTAGTTAGCAGATAAACACCTAACACACAATGGAATATAAAGTACTATCACAATCATGCTTTGATTTTACAAAATGACTTGAAACTCATTTGACTTCACTTTTCTAAAAGCATATTTACCTTTTCAAATGTCCTAAGAGGAGGTGTCCATTGTCAAATTGCTTGTTGCAGTGCATTATGGGACATAAAATTGGTTTCCCAGACATTCGCATTTGGCCTCCTCTTCGGAATGAATTTTTTGTTCCAGAATTAACCACGCCTGTTTTGAATCCTGAATCAAAACAGAAATTCTACTTCAGATACTTATCTTTTGGACTGATAATCAAAACAATTAATATTATGATACAGCATCAACTACGTGAATCTAATTTCTAATGAAGAATTTACCTAACAACAGTAACAACGACAACATAGAGAGAGTTACGTTGGCCTAGCGGACAGAAAATTCTGCTACCAAGCCCAAGGTGGGTGATTTGAATCTGCAGCCCTCAGGTCTGGTTCACATTGGGTTTTTTTGTCAAACATTCTTCTAGGTGGTATAGCACTGGTTTGTGCACTGCTGTACATTGAGATAACTGGTGGCTGCTGTGATGCTGAACACTGTGACACCGATTTGCAAAATGTGATAATGGTTATCCATGGTGGACAGTGTTCGGTGGAGCTTCCCCATTAAAACATGCTTGGAAGCAGGAGTGGCATCCACTTCCAAAATGGCTTGCCTCCAGAAACTCTATGAATGGTGCTCAGGTCTTTCATTCATAGGGTCACTATGAGTCGTCTACAACTTGACGGCAACAACATTTGCAATCTCTCTTATAAAAGATATAACCTAAGAGTAAATACAGTTATTTGGAATAAACAAAGCTATAAATATCTCTAAATAGCATTGCTTAGGAAAGGGAATGGGAGAGATCTATTTCATAAAGAATATGTATAAATATGCTTGATGGTCACTATCAACTGGTTTTGTGCTGTTGATGGGGATTCTGTGCTAAGAGCTCACATAACAACTATGAGATATCATCTCACCCTAGTAAAAAATAGCAAAATTTAACAGAGCAGCAAACAACAACTGCTGGTGAGGCTCTGGAGAAACTGGAACCCTTAGTCACTGTTCGTGGAAGTGTAAAATGGTGCAACTACGATGGAAGGTCGAATGGTGCTTTCTCAAAAAGTTGGAATATAAATAGCATTTGACCCAGCAATTCCACTACTGGGAATATGCCCGAAAGAAACCCAAGCAGATAGATGCACAATTATGGATTTCACCTGATGGTATGCATAGGAATCAGATCGATTACATCTGTGGAAAGAACCGCTGGAGAAGCTCAATATCAGCTGTGAAAACTAGGCCAGGAGCCGACTGTGGAACAGACCACCAACTACTCATAT